TAATTGATATTGAGATGGTGGAGATGTGTAGTTCAGGTGCATGATTGTGGTGGTGTTTGGTTCTCTGAGCTGGATGCTTTTTGGTTGTGGAGCATTCATTGTTCTTCTGAACATCATCATCAGCACAAACTTCAGATAGAAGTGAAGCATTCAAATTTCTCCACGTTTGACCTGTAGCTTGTTCTGCTAACCTCGATCTTGATTGATATTCTAGAGAGTTAGAGTTGTAAACCGGAAAAGTCTAATGAAATTTCAAAATTTTAATGTTCTGTTTTACTTTTCCGCCAAAAACAATAATTAGTTGAATCATTTGTCTCACATAAACATTGATAACAATTCAACTTGTTTAAATTAAATTAAATTAAATTAAATATAAGAATTTTTGTCAAAGTTTTAACAGGAAAATAATGAAACCCATTTCAAAAGACAATCTCATCGATTTTTAATCAGTTGAAAACTTTATTATATGAAATAAATTACATTTTTATTAGCGAATTCGTTTTCTTTGGGATGGGGCAGCCAACTCCACACCCCAGTCCTCCTACTTTATCCGGGCTTGGGACAGGCAGTAACAGGCATGTAACAAGTAGATCAATTAAATATTTGATCACGTGTACCATTTTGGCAAGAAAAGCTCGTTTTAATTTATAGCAGGAAATTTTTATGCTCGTCAGTTGATATGCTTGAAACTATTACGAGTTCACCTTAGCCGGTAAACGAGAGTAAAGACAAATAATCCAGTGACACGATAGACTACTCTTATCCCAGCGTCCCAACGCCCCACTAAGTACACGAAGAAATCATGATATGGCATAGAAAGTTTATTCTACAAGCACCAAGAAAATATGAGATTTACAAGCATACAAATCGAGTTTTATATTTATACATTGTAGCAACCAACGCCTTTGAGAGAGACACACAAGAACAGACTACTGAAATAATCCATCAACTAATAACAGTTTCGTATTTTCCGAGTGGGAAAATGTAACCCCCAAGGTCAATTGATCAGTCCATACTCGAAAACATGAAATTAGGACCCTTATCAAATGAATTCTTGGGATCGAAACATCCCCGCCGCCCCCCCCCGCAAACAATAATTCCTTTTCATTCGTAAATTCTAGTTGAATTTTTATTACTCAACACTGGAACAGGATCCACAATTACTCATTATCGATTCAAATGCCATTATTATGTTTATTATTGTATGAGAGATTTCATCAGTCAGTCAGTCAGATGCAACGTAGAACTTTGTACATAAGTACATCAGTTCATGTTGCCATACCACATCAGCACAGAGGAGTAATCGTCAATTCAAATCCAATAGTAGAAGAGGTAGTAAGGGAATTAGAAATAATCGGAGAGGTTAGGATTAGAAGATACTATTCAAGAAGTATGATTCAGTGAGAAAAGTTTAGAGAGTCGAAACTAGAGTGGTTGAAAAATCCAGAAGATTAGGATTTGAGACAACACAGAGAATAAATTTACCTGCGCCATTGCGAACGATTTTGAGCCATGTCATTCAAGGTCTCTAACCATCGATTATTATCATCTCGCGGACCCCAACCAGGTAGTCGACACCTACCGACATGGCTCAGTCCACTAGTCAATAACTTCATGGATTTCTGCCATGTTTTGGTTTGGCCGCCCCTAACTTTCTTCCAACCTACTCCTACACTAAAAAACAAGGCTCGACGGGGCAGTCGGTGGTTGGGCATACGCAACACATGTCCCAACCACCTCAACTGATCAAGTTTCATTACTTCATCTATTGATCTGCCATTCTTACCTAGCACCCGTTTCCTAATAACAGCGGTGCTCACTCGGGTGTCCCACGATGTACGAGCAGTGCTTCGAAGACACCTATGATCGAAAACCAGTAACCGACGAATATCTTTTACTCTGACTGGCCATGTTTCACAGCCATAAAGTAGGATGGAGCGAACTACTGCGCAGTACACTCGTCCTTTGGTTAGCAAATGGATATCTCGCCTACGCCATAAGTGACGCAGGTTGGCAAAAGCCAATCGAGCCTTCTTTATCCGTGCTGAGATTTCGTCAGTCACCAGACCATCGGCACTGATGAGACTCCCAAGATAAGTGAAGCGGTCTACACGTTCGACTACTTCACTCCCTATCACTAGTTCAGGTGCCGATGCAACCCAGTCTTGAAGCAACATTTTGCATTTCATCAGTAGTTGATCGATAATTTAAAAAATATATATATATTTATATGTATAAATGCGTATATGCATGTATGTTTTTTTTTAAATTAAAAACACTGTATAAAATTTGATTTGATTTTAATTTCAATTGTACAACAACATGCAGGTAGTTTATGATTCTTCATAAAAAAATCTGAGCATAACATTCTCTACCTGTTCCTGTCTTTTTCTATTTCAAATGTTATTTCTTATTTTTACTTGAGAATACTGAAAATATTTATAAGGAATTATGTAAGTAGGTGGTATAATGGTGTTATTAAATATTTTCAAAGTTTTGATAAAGAAATCAGTTCGTTTTGTTAGAGGACTGAATGTAATATGAGTAAGTTTTAATTATGGTATAGATGTACACTATAATAGTTGATCGTTTTATTGATATTTATGATCTCGAGATCGAAATTAGCTCATTGAGGCAGACAGTGGTGGTTAGGCGCACGTAACACATGCCCCAACCACCTGATCTTCATCTATTGATTTGACATTCTTAGATTGTGTATGTTTCCTAACAAACTGCACTGCTTAATCGATAGTCTCGAGATAAATGAGCAATGTGCTTCAGAGACATTTACGATTGGATCATTGTTGAACAATCAATTGAATGGAAATCCTCACTGTACATTAACTTCATCGACTATGAGAAAGCATTCAATAGTGTGGATAGGAAAACACTATGAAGGCTTCTTCGAAACTACAGTGTGTCTGAGAAGATAGTTAACATCATACGAAATTTTTACAGTGGATTAAACGACAGCTGTCAGACTTGTTCGAGGTGAAGACCGGTGTTAGACAAGGTTGCTCACTTTCACCCTTTCTCTTTTTCCTGGTGATCGACTGGATTAAGAAAACATCAACATCTGGAAATAAGAAGTGGACAGCCAGGGTGAAGCTGGACGATCTGGACTTCGAAGATGACTTGGCTCTTCTATCGTACAAGCAACAACTAATGCAATAGACGATCAGTACGGCAACAGCGTCAGCAGGTCGCAACATGCACAATAGGGAAAAGAAGATTCTCCGATACAACACAACATGAACCAACCAAATCACTCTTGATGGAGATGCTTCGGAGGACGTTAAAACCTTTACATATCTGTGTGTCATCGTGACGATCAAGGTGGATCTCATGGCGGCGTAAAAGCACGGGTCGAAAAAGCAAGGACAGCATTTATACAGTTGAAGAACATCTGGAACTTCAATCAACTATCGCCAAATGCCAAAGTCACAATTTTCAGTACAAATGTGGAAACAGTTCTACTATATGGGGGGGGGGGGAAACTAGGAGAACTACCAAAGCCATCATCTAGAAGGTACAAGTATTCATTAACAGTTGTCTACGTAAAATACTTCGGATTCGTTGACCAGACACTATCAGCAACAATCTGCTGTAAGAGAAAACAAATGAGATCTCCGTGGAGGAGGAATTCAGAAAGAAGCGGTGGAAGTGGATAGGACACACATCCAACCGCATCACAAAACAGGCCCTCATTTAGAACCCTCACTGCAAAAACGAAAAGAGGAAGGCTAAGAAACACATCACGTCGAGAAACGGAGACAGACATGAGAAGAGGGAACAACAGTTGTACAGAACTAAAAAGGAAATTTCAGGAGAAAGTACTTTGGAGAATACTGGTCGTCCACCTATGCTCCATTGGGGGTTGGGGTGGTTAACAGGCGTAACTAACTATAGTCAAAAGTCAAAACAATGGACTTTGTTTCTCACAAAATATTAACACATACAAACAAACGACAATTTATAACTTCTGCTCCTAGGAGAACATATGGGTCAAGAGATACATTTCTATAAAATTGTACAAGTCAAGTGAAATGGCAGTGTTTATTCGCGGATCCAACCGGAAAATGGTTGCACTAACGATCAGTTAGTTATCTTTGATAGAAAAGCATATATATATACACACACACATTAACTCCGCCAGTAGAACCTTCAGGGCTACTGCCGGTCCCAAGCCCAGCTAAAGGAGGAGGGTTGGACATGGGGTTGCTGACCGCATTCCGTCCAAAAAACTAACTTGCCAAAAAAACGCTAACCAGAAGTAAGTAACAAACACACGCAGATTATACAAATACCATATTTATTAAGATAAATTCATACATACACAAAGTTGCATAAATTTTATATAAACCAAATCTCAAATTTTTAAAAAAAAAAAGGAAAAAAAATTTATAAGAAATTCAAAATTAAATCAAATCAAGTCAAAATTTACACTCTGTAAAATAGCAATAATAATAATAATAATCATTTTCTTCAATGAAAAATTAGATGTATACTTTCTTGTAAGCGATGAAGTTATAATAGTTTAATTTAGAAAACCTAAGCATTGTCAATCACATAACATACACGATAACATGTACACATTGAACAAAAACAAGCAAAAGATAACCACACACAATACAATTGAACTTTGATCAATCAATCAATCAATGTTCAATGCTTGCATTTATTTCCAAATTGAACACACACACACTACCTACCATACAGAAAATGGAAACAAAAACAACAGTGGGAAGACAAACATCCAAATATACTTCGGAATCATTTAAAAATGATGTTTTGATATGATTGTTGCTGTTGGTGTTGTTGTTATTGTATAAGGATGAAGTTACTTTTTTATTTATACAATAAATGTTTGTGTAGCACTTTTTTTTTAAAAAAAAACAACATTACAATATTTAAACAATGATATCAACAACGATATATGCACAATAATTCTTCTTTTTTCGTCTGTTTGTGTGTGCGTGTGCGTGTGCGTGGATCAGTTTTCAACTAGTTGGTACAATACGGAATAATTTTTGTAATCCAATGGTGAAGTTGACTGAAAATGAAAGAAAAATGAAAAATAAAACAAAACGGATAACAAAAATATTGAATAACATTGTTCAATATTCAATTTCGATATATCGTAAAGAAGTTGACATGGAACGTTACTAATATTTTTTTTGCATTACGGGGTTGCTGTGAAGATTGTTAAGTAGCACATTTTTGAAACCATGAATCAATCAATGTTAGACCACCATTAGAAACCTGGAAGCACAGGACAAAGGCCGTTTCGCACTGGTATGGGACTCCTCAGCAAATTAGACATTAACACCGTTAGATACCGGCTCAGTGGTCTAACGGTTAGGGCGTTCGCACACAATCGAAGGTCCTGGGTTCGAATCCTGCGGGGTGCAGGAGTCGTGGATGAGCACTGCTGAGGAGTTCCATACCAGGAAGGAACGGCCGTCCAGTGTTTCAAGGTTTCTTCTAATGGTGGTCTAACATTGATCTCGATTCGTGGTTTCAAAAATGTGTAACTTAACAATCTTCACAACCCCATAATGCAAATTACCTGTGCTCATTAGTGACTAGCTTCGTGAGGAATCTTCTCCGAGTTCTAGTGGGAAGACGTGACCAGTAAAGTTCAACCTGTTCGGGAGTAGGCAGTGTCTACCGAAGACTGTGTATGAGGTTGCGCAACTCTGTGAATTTGATCAAGTTAGAAATTAATACCGTTAATTACCGCCTCAGTGGCCTAACAGTTATGGCGTTCATACACAATGCCGAAGGTCGTGGGCTCGAGTCCCGCGGGGTTCAGGAGTCGTGGGTGCGCTCTGTTGAGGAGTCCCATACCAGGACGAAACGGCCGCCCAATGCTTACAGGTTTCTAATGGTGGTCTAACATTTATCTCGATTCATGGTTTCAAAAATTATCTTTTTTTCGTAACAGCTTTGAAATAATTTTAAGAAAAATTGAGAAATTTTTTTTCTGTCAGTGTATAGTCGAAGAGATTTTATTGAGTATGATGAAAGGACTAATCGTGATCAGTTAATGTTGTCATCTGCACAACCTTATCTCGCAACTATTATTTAGTGTTCACTAGTGACACTAACTTGTTGTGGGAATTTTCGCAGTTCTAATCAAAAACTGTGATCATTGCAGTTCGACTGTGTCAGATGTGAGACAATTTTACCCCCACCGAACAAAATAGATCATGGTCGATCATTATCGTGGATTCATTGAAGTTAGGTGTTATAACACCACTGGATCATGGCCCAGTGGTCTACACAAGTTAAGCATTCAAGCGCGAAACCGTAGGTCTTTGGTTTCAATTCCAACATAGAGAATTGTGGGTAAGCATTGCTGACGAATCCTGTACTAGTAACGAAACAGTCATCCAATACTTCGAGATTTTCACTGGTGGCCTACAAAATTGATCACTTCATGATTTCAATGAAATTTTTAACAAGATTAATTTCACACCCAAGTAACGTGTTAAGATATTTCTCTATTGATAATAAGGTCAAGCTAAATACAATGAAAGTCATATATATATATATAACAAGAATTGATGATTCACATGTGAATACTAGTCTGATGAAGATGATGATGATGATGATTATTGTTTTTGGATGGGAATAATCTGACCGACACTATTCTTCTTCTTCTTCCTTTTCGCCCTCCCTTCTCACCTCTTTTTCTATTTGTTATGCCTACTTTGTTTGTCCTTGTCTAATAGTTATGTGTATACACATAAAAACACATTATTACAATATGATTGGATTTATTGTTTGAAAACATAAATGTCACCAACGACTCCTACACCTCGCAGGATTCGAACCCGGGACCTTCAGTATTGTGAGCGAACGACTAACCATCGGACCATTGTGCCAGATTCCAACGACGTTAATGTCTAACTCTGATTGATCTACGGATTTTGATTTGTCTTTAATAGTTACTAGTCTAAAAATGATTGATTAATAATTTCAAATGTGTAAAAATACAAAAACCTCCAATTCTCTGCCCCAAAATATCGTAACAGTGCTCACTAGTGACTAGCTTCGTCAGGAAATTCTAGGAGTTCTAGTGGAGAAGACGTGACCAATCGAGTTCAACCCTGTCGGGTGGAAGCAGTAACTACTTAAGAAAAATGAGTGAGGTCGCGCAAAAATCCGTAGATCAATCAGAGTTAGACATTAACAACGTTCGATACCGACCGGCCCGGTGCGTCCAATGGTTAGGCGTTCGCGCACAATACCAAAGAACCTGGGTTCTAATCCTGCAGGGTGCAGGAGTCGTGTATGCGCACTGCCACTGATGAGTTCCATATCAGGAAGAAACGGCCGTCCAGTGCTTCCAGGTTTCTAATGGTTGTCTAACAATGATCGATTCATGATTTCAAAATCTTGTTTATTTGCATGAAATATGATTCAGAAAAAAAAACATTTTCTCACAATGAAAGAAAATGAATGAATGACAAAAGCCATTAACGACTACAATTTATTCAAATGATGACACAAATAATGTGTTTTAAAGTTGTTTTTTTTTTATTTACGGCCAGTGAGAACGTGTAGATTTGAAATTTTTGGATTAAGAAATAAATCCAGTGTAAAATGTTATACATTAAGAGACATGACACCATAATCATTTCATTCAATTAAAAAGCTGAATGATTGAGAAACGTGCCGGAGAAATGCTAAAACACAAAATTGTTCACATTGACTAAATTCATCTAGCCTGTAACATCACCAATTACTCAAATGTGAACTATATCGAACTAGAACAATTTTTCACATAGATGTATAGTTCAGTTATATTGTTTAAATAGTTCGGTATAACTGCAATAATAGATTTTACGATAAAAAAAACACACATACAGTCGTTCGTTTGGTCATCTTGAAAAGAGCTTTCTTCAATTATTGTAAATCACTAATTATCAAGATATACCCTGTCGGTGGGACCGAAGACAAATAGGTGAGGTTGCGCAAAAGCCGTAGATCAATTAGAGTTAGACATGAACACTATCGGATGCCAAATCAGTGGTCTAGAGGTTAGGCGTTGGCATGCGAGACCGAAGGTCTTGGGTTCGAACGCTGCAAGTAGCACGCGTCGTCGATACGCACGGCTAATGAAACCCATACTAGGGCGAAATGGCCGTCTTTCAGTGCTTCCACATTTCTAATGATGGTCTATCAATGATTGACTGATGATTTCAAATGTGTGAAAACACTAATCTCCATAATTTTAATTGAAAAATACATGTATGAAGATTGTAAGTTTCGACTGATGATTAATTGACCAGAGAAAGAGAGAGTACCTAAAGTTTTCAATAAACAGATTTTATTGCATAAACCTTGTCAAATCTATGTCAATTTGGCCAGTCTAATAATATGTCAATAGGCCTTATATTAAACAAAATAAATCTATCTGTGATTGAACTTTTTAGTGCAACAAAACACACATGTACAATAAATTTGTTGAATGAAAACTGAATTTATACTTGAAAAAAAAAATATGTCAATAGCATATTACAAAATGTTAGTCATATTATCATCATAGAATTGCTTACACATTGTCTGTTGAAATGATTTCGGTTTTGGACTCCAAACACAACCCAATATATAAACTGGTATCCCGGTTAAAATGATTAAAATACCATATACTAAAGAAATGCATCAGTAGGAGAAAAAACACAAAAGATAATTACATAATAATTATGTGAAAAAGTAAAACTGAAATTGTCAATTTAATGAATAAACGAGAAAAAACGGAAATAAAATTTTACTGAATAAAAAACCGGAAACAAATGATATTTAAGCGATCAAAACATACATCCAACCATTCGATTGATGTACTGATTGATGTACGTTGTGTTTCTACCTTTTTTACTTACTTACGCCAGTTAACCTCCAACCTACTCTGTTCTGGGTTTCTCTTTCCAGTTCTGTCGAATTTTTGTTCATTTTTCTCATGTCGTTCTCTATTTCTCGGCGTTGGCCTTCCTCTTTTCCTTTTACATTGAGGGTTTCAAGTGAGGGCTTTTCTTGCGACGCAGTTGGGTGCTTTCCAACAGTGTGTCCAATCCACTTTCACCGCTTCTTTCTGATTTCCTCCTCCACTGGAATCTGGTTTATTCTCTCCTACAGTAGGTTGTTGCTCATGGTGTCTGGCCAACAGATCTGAAGTATTTTGCATAGACAACTGTTAAGGAATACTTGTGTCTTCTGGATGATGGTTTTGGTTGTTCTCCGGGTTTCCACTCCATACAGTACAACTGTCTTGACATATGTATTGAAAATTGTGACTTTGGTGTTTGGTGAAAATGTTATGAGTTCGAGATGTTGTTCATTCGTAGAAATGCTGTCATTGCATTACCGATCCATGCCATTATATCTTCATCGGACCCACCTTTATTGTCCATGATGCTGCCCAGATATGTGAAGATTTCCATGTCCTCCAAAGGCCTATCTATTCAGAGTGATTTGGTTGGCGCACGTTTTGTTGTTTCGGAGAATTTCGCTATTCCTATTTTTGCTGCTACACTGGTTGTCTTCTATTGGGTTTGTTGTTGCGTGTATGATAGAAGAGCCAGATCATGATCTGCGAAGTCCGAATCGTCCAGCTGCATCCTAGCTGTCCACTGTGTTCCGCGCAAGTTGTTTTTCAATACATGGAAATTATTTATCAAATTAAAATTAGACTCAGATTAGTTTTGTTTTACTTTGTATTGATATTCACTAATTCATTTAAAGGAATGGCGGAATTTTTATTCACTGACAATTCAAACATGCTAATAACTTCATCGTCTAAATAGAAAAAATTAACATGTCGCCACTAACGATTAACTTCGTGAAGGAATTTACGCAGCTCAGTGTAGTAACGGTGTGAGGCTGAACACAATAAAACATGGTCACGCAATATCGTGGATTGAATGAAATTAGATATTAACATCATTGGATACCGACTCAGGTCTTCTAGAAGTTGTGCGTTCACATGTGAGACCGAAGGCCTTCGAATCAAATTCCACGCGCTCGTGGTCGTGAATACGCCCTGTTAAGGGGTTCCAAACTAAGATAAAACAGCTATCCAATGCTTCAAGACTTTCAACGGTCGTCTAACATGAATCAGTTCATGATATCAATCAAAATTGTATTAGAATTAATGAATGAATATTCACTTAAAATGAAACTTAAAAAACGCACAACTAATTCACAGAATTTATATATCATCTCACATGTATTTGATCAGGTTTACATTTTAAATTTGATCAAATCCTAATTGAACAGAATATCTTTTGTACAGTAATGGTCACAGCATCAACAACTGATCTATAACGATTATATGTTTATTATTTTATACAGTGGTTTATGTATGCTTGACTATAATGTTTACTGTTTAAGCATTGAATAACACAACTGAATAGATTAGTTATTGTCTTAAATAATAATTCAATAACACAATATTGATCATTTGTACAGTTTTGAAATTTAATTTAATTTATTTAATTTTTAATTATCTAACATTACAATTCACATCCAGTGAAATGAATTGTGTGAAATGAATTTTTAGAGTAAAGATGATCATAGATAGGATGAACACAGTAAAGTTTTGGCCATTCTACCTCGAACTTTAAGAACTACCATAGAGAGCGAGGTCGTACTGTTGACTGCACAGGGGTGTGACAGCAATAAGGTGTTTCCCTCGGACAACCAGCATCTGAAGCGATGCTGCTGCCTTCTCACAAGGAAGGAAGGGTTAGAAGGTGGTCAACCCTAAAAATGTCACACCTCACTCTACCTCGTGGATTTCCGTCTCTGGCAGTAAGGGTGCCCACTAAGGGCTTTCAAGAAAGGAGCTAATACTCAACAAACCCTTCATAAAAAGGCCGTGAGTGACCGGCCTCAAGTAGTTGTCCGTTGGGCTCTGAGGTCACGCTCGCAGGTCGTTAAGACCAACGCTAATCTACTTTCTTTTTCAGGTTCTTCAAGAAACTCCCTTCCACGGTGTGGGCAGCTGGGAAGTAATATCCGCCATCATATCCATAAAAGCACACGAGACCGAATCGGTCACAATCAAATGCCTTCTACACCTCTTAATAAGACCCATGCGTAGACGCATACTTTATAATATACGGCAAGAGGTTTGAATGTCGTCCAGTGAAGTGACCAGTCTCAATAATATCAATACATGATTACTTGTGTTAGATTCATCAAAGATTAGATGACACTTAAATTATTCAGTGCTAATTTAAATCCTTCTTTTTCACACTAAATTACTTCAGTTTATTGAGATGGCTTCACCTTACTGATCATAGAATCAGAGAGAATGAATTGATTGCAAACTAATGTATGACGCGTTGTGTTTGTTGTCGGGATCACCATATTTTACAGTGACCCATGATATTTACGACAAAGTTGAACAACATACTACTATCATACTTAGATGAACCCCTGTTTGTACGACAGCGATAATAAGAAGCCCAGTACGGATTCGGTTGGATGAGTGTTCATGTCAAACAATCGTTCATACATTCATTCAAGTAGAGATGGACATGAGAATGAAAAGTTTACAAGCAAAGAGAGAGAGGTGAAGCGGAGAAGGCGAGCTAGCCAACACAATGTAATGCGACATGACTATGCCAGAAGACATGTGATAAGCGACACAACAAATAAGATATGAGCGAATACACTAGACAAAGTCGAAAGATAAAGAGAATAATAACTCATGAATAAAAGGTTAACTAATTTGTCCGAAAGTAATCGACAAGCCCTATGTTGGCGTGACATAAAAGTACGTACACGCGCACTACAAAGCTCACTTGTAGAAAAATGTACATAAATTTGAAGTACACACAATACGATGCTTCGCTTCAGTACAGTCATGCTACACCAGTAAAATAAATCATTAATTAAAACAACTCTCATTCGACTAAAACGATGAAAAGATTTTATTTCATTGTTTTTTGGTGATAAAAATCACATCACTTGTCAAAGAATCAGAACTTTATAACCATCATTTATGCCATAAAATGACAGAGGAATGAATAATCACCAAGAAGAATCTTCTTTTTTTAAACAGAAAAACACTGAACGAGATTTTTTCCTTAGTTTTGAAATATTTTACTACAAACAACCCGTGAACATTGAATGTGTGCATAAGATGTTTACGTTTTGAAAAAAAAAGAATTCTTTGCGTTTTAGATCACTTACTCCTTAGATTAGTTTCTGTTGCCTAACTATACACGACGATTACTACATGAATTTTAACGATAAGTTACTGTATCATCATAATCTCAACGATATCAACTCGACAGATTATAACTTCTAATTTGTAGTTAATCACTTTGTCTGCAAAGCATTGCTCACTATATCCTGAGTCCACCGATGGCAAATCAATAGATGAGGTGGTGCAACTTCATTAGTTGAGGTGGTTGCAGGACATGTGTTACGTATGCCTAACCACCGACTATCACCTCGTCGAGCTATATTTTGTGGTGTAGGAGTAGGTTGGAAGGAAGCTAGGGGCGGCCAAACCAAAACATGGCAGAAATCCATGAAGTCATTGACAAGTAAAATGAGTCATGTCGGTAGTTGTCGACTACCTGGTTGGGGTCCGCGAGACGAAAGTCATCAATGGTTAGAGACTTGGGATGACATGGCTCAAAATCGTTTACAATGGAGTAGGTACATCCATTCTTTGTGTTCGTAAATTGAACTCCCCCCACCCACTTATGTTTACAGAAACAGTTTGTGATTACCTTGATTTCATACTCTAGCAATCATCATTAACCTATTTTTTATAGCCTTACAGTAATGTGATCATTTCCTACTGTTGCTTACGTTAATTTTCTCTCTCTCTCCTGTACTTTATGTCTACTGGAATTTTTTATTTACAATTTAACCTTATGCCTTGACCTGATATAATTCGAAATTTGCATTACGGGGTTGTGAAGATAGTTAAGTTACACATTTTTTTGAAACCAACATTAAAAACCTGGAAAAAGCACTGGACGGCCGTTTCGTCCTAGTATGGGACTCTTCAGCAGTGCGCATCCACGACTTCTGCACCCCGCAGGATTCGAACCCAGGACCTTCGGTATTGTGCTCGAAAGCCTTAACCGTTAGACCACTGAGTAGGTGTGCAACGGTGTTAATGTCTAACTTAATCAAATTCACGGAGTTGAAGAAAATTTTTTGTTTTAGGTCAGATAGATGATTGTTGTAGTGTTTCTCATTTGTTCCAAAAGAAAAACACCAAGCTCCATGAACCAAAAACACCACAATAGTTGGAAATGTATCACGCGCAAAATTACATCACATCAATCACATTTTCTTATTATTCAATGAAAAATAATAATAATAATAATAATAATTTACAAAAACACACACACAGACACACAAATAATCAACAAATTCAATTTACATGATTCTTGAGGTGATCCATAGAATGAGAAAATTAATAGAGCTGTAGTTACTATTAAATAGATAATTGCAAATATAATTGGAGCCTGAAAAAAAAAATACATTTTGAAAATAATAATAATAATAATAATAATAGTAATCATACAGTAATTATGAAATAGTAAAAGTCGTTTGTTTTTTTTTTTGATTCAATAATTCAGAAATGATTATCAAACGAAGTCGGTATGGTTGTTGTTGTTGGCTCAAATTAACAACATTCAGATCAATGAAATCAAATTCAACTAGTATTGATCAGACTTTGAACGGTTGTTTCATGGTTAGATTGTAGTGCCTTCATATATATTCTTCCAGTTCGCTTACATCTAACTTGGTTAAGCTTAAGCCCTTTCCATTAATTTATTTAACCAAGCTATTTGCGCGTAGTAGCAATAACTTATATGTACCCATTCGTTCTTATTATTGTCTGGTTTGTATGAGGAGCTCACATGACGTGTCCTACTTGTCATTTGACATTGTCAATCATTCGTCGCTTTTATTCATGTGTGTGCATACCCTATCTCGTTGATCACACATGTCTGTCTTATTCCTGTCATGCTCTATCTCTTGGAGTTGGCTCAACAGCCTTCTCCAATTCACGTCGCTTCATTCGTTTTACTCACTGTTTCTCCGCTCCGCTTTGTAATGTGTCCAAAAATAAACATATTCAACACACTACGAGTTCACCTTCTGATTTATAAAAACCGTCAGACGCTATTTAGTAACGATTGTCTAGACGAGCTAATTACCGAACTTCAGAGAACATGTAGATATCGGCCACCAAAAGATAATAAATGAATATGATATGATTAGATTTAATGTAAATGGTAATATTTGGAGAACTATGAAAGTTATTATCCAGAAGATATAAGTGTGTATTCACAGTTGTCCGCGTGAAATACCTTGGATCCTACTGTGGGAGGGAACAAATCAGATTCATCTAGCTGAGGAAGAGATTAGGAAGAGGCGTTGGAAGTGGGTAGGACACATATTGAGGAAAGTACTCATCTGAGTCATATGGAAAGACTTCACTTGGAATCCTCAAGGCTCAAGAAGAAGAGTGAGACCAAAATACACAATACATCGAAAAATGGAGACAGACATGAGAAGAGTGAACAACAATTGGACAAAACTAGAAAGGAAGACCCAGGACAGTGTAGATTGAAGAATACTGGTCAGTGACCTATTCTCCACTGGGGGGGTACAGGCATAAGTAAAAACACAAAACCTCCAAAACTCTGCCAGTGCTCACTAGTGACTAGCTTCGTGAGAAAATTCTCCGACTTCTAGTTGAGAAGACGTGACCAATGCACTTCAACCCTGTCGGGTGTATGCAGTAACTACTAACAAAGACAAATGAGTGAGGTCGCGCAAAATCCCTAGATCAATCAGAGTTAGACATTAACACCGTTGGATGCATGCCGGCCGAGTGGTCCGGTGGTTAGCCGTTCGCCTACAATGCTGAAGGTTCATTAATAGTGCACGTCAATGAAAACTGCGACCCATAGGATTCGAACCCAGGACGTTCGATCTAGCGCGCGAACGCCTAACGGCATCCAACGGTGTCATTATCTAACTTCGATCAGTTTAGGAATTTCGCGCGCAACCTTATTCGTAGCAGAAGTCATGGATGAGCACTGCTGATACCTCACATACCAAGACGAAACAGCTATTCAATGCTTCCATGTTCCTAATGCTGGTCTAACAATGACTGAGCCCAATTATACGCAGAACTTCGTACATAAGTACATCAGTTCAGGTTGCCATACCACACATCAGCACAAGGACGTAACTGTCAGTTCAAATCTAAGAAGTATTAGCAGTAATGGAGCCCAATTATCTTGAAACTAATTGTTTAAGTATAGACAAAAATTCTTATGAACACATGAACACACATGATTATTATTAAACATTTCCCAAAAAAATAAATTAAAAAAAATAATTGTTTTCCATTTACCTTCACAGGACGTGGTGCATTACGACGTGTGAATCGAAACACTACGACAATTAAAACACAAAGACCAACTGCTAACCATTGTACAAAACCCATATAATTCATGAGTGGGAAAATATCACCAGATAGTAAATAAACGATTGATACAATACACTAAATAAAATAAATAATGAAAAATTTTTGTAATTTCTTTTTAAAAAAATTAATTAAATTATTTAATCATATTTAAATATATATATATACAAATGATAATCATGAAATTATATTTTATTTTATTGCGATTATGATACTACTGATGCTAGACTAATTTATCAGAAACCTGGAATCACTAAAATTGGGCGTTTCCTCATCATGTGCGTGCGCATCTACGATCCCTCACAAATGGGAGTTGAAATCAGTGTTCGGGATGTTAGATACCCAGAACTCGCTTGATTTGCATTTCATGTTTTCGAGCATGAACTGATCAGTTGACTTTGAGATTACATTTCCCACCAGGAAAATCCTTGACTGTCATTGGTTGATAGAGTATTTTAGTACTCTATTTTTGTAACTCTCCAAAGGACATTTCTATAGTGTATAAATAAACTCAGTCTGTGTGCTTGTGAACCTTATATTTTCTGGGCGCTTGTAGAATACACTTCCTATGCCATAGCACGATTTCTTCCTCTAATTAGTGGGCGCGTTGTGACGCTTGGATTAGAGTAGCCTATCTTGTCACTGGATCATTTATCTTCGCTCTTGTTTACCGACTAAGGTGAACTCGTAATAGCATCCAAGCATTTCAGTTGACACTCAGGACCGTCAGTCTCACGTACGATTGCTTAACCTCTAGACCACTGATTCACGTCATCCAGTGGTGTTAATGTTTAACTACAATTAATCGTGGGTATTGCGCAACCTCATTCATTGTCTTCAACAGATAACTGCCAACACCAGTGATTAGCTTCCTTGAGGAAATTCTCCGAATTCTAACGTGAGAAATGCATAAGTGAAGTTTTATTTTGTCTAGGGTCCCTACCAATCTGATAATCATAATATTGATC